GACTCACTTGTGATGATTCCTCAAACATCTGTGCAACCATAGGATTAGGAACTTGTGATAGTAATTGGTCATATGCAGACTGAGATTGGGTCAGCACCTACAAGTTTACAAAGGTAATTAAGATAGAGTTATAATTAATAGGGTACTGATAATAGAGTGATAAGATAGAGTATTGTTTCATTACCTCTACTGGTTCTTGCTCAGATTCATGCAACTCTTCTGTAGAACTTGCAGCTGGGGTCCTACTTGTCTTCAGTTTGGGTTTGAGTCCAGCCTTTCTCAGTGGGCACCCTTTCTTGTTATGTCCAGGCTCTTTGCAGTAAGAGCAGTGCATCTCCACACCATGCTTGGACATTTTAGGCCCATTTTTTCCCTGTACCTCATGTGGTGCTTTCCTCCTAGACTTATGTGGTCTGCCAACCTTTTTCTCATATATTGGAGGCTTCACTTCTGGCCCATTCACCTGAGCCCACTTAGTCATATCATTGCAGGGCCAAATGTTAAATGCATATGCTCTGGAGAATGCTTCTAAACTATAGCAGGGTGGAAGAACTGACTCGGCACTAATTCTCTCACTCCTTAAGCATGAGATAGCATGGTTACAAGGGATGCCTGTTAGATCCCATCTCCTGCAGTCAAAATGTTTAGCACTAAGGTCAACAATGTACTTGAAATTCCTATCTTCCACCTGAAAAATCCCTTTCCCGGCTGGCAAAACATAACATGTGTTTGCCATATCTGCATTTTTCAGTACTTTCTTCCTGATCTTGGGGCATATAGGCCCATGCCATTGCTCTGCCACTTCTTTCTGCTTACTGTAATGCCTACTCATTACTTGGCTTTTGATCTTTTCAAACATACTCAGGATTGGCAATTCCCTAGCTTCTAAGATGTACTTGTTGAATACTTCACAATTATTGTTCAACAAGATATCACACTTAGGGAATTCACTGAAATAAGCTCTGACCCAAGTTTTAGGAGGCATCTTTTGAAGCCACTCATATGCATCCTGATTAAGAGATTTCATTTCTTCCATGTTGGCATTCCACTCAACCTCTGAACTTGATCTAGCACATGCCCATAACTGGTTTTTCAGATTCTCACCTTTGAAATGTACCTGAAAATTGGAGTACAGATGTCTAACACAAAATCTATGTTCTGAATCAGGGAAAATCTGTTGGACAGCTGGTATAAGACCCTGTATCATGTAAAAACAAACATGGAATTTGAAATATGTCAGATTATAAGAACAAAACTTATAAGACAAAAATAAAGAACAAGTATACCTTTTGCTTATCAGTCATTATTGTCCATGGGTAGGTATTGTCAATGCCCAGGTCTTCCTTTAGGGTATATAGAAACCATGTCCAAGACCTCAATGACTCTTTCTCAACCACAGCTATTGCAATTGGATATATGCAATCATTAGGGTCAATGCCTACTGCTGTTAGGATTTGTCCACCAAATTTAGTCTTGATGTGGCAACCATCCAAACATATCAAAGGCCTACATCCACTCAGAAACCCTCTCTTACATGCATCAAAGGACATGTAATATGTGCTGAAACAACTGTCTACCAGGTTCAAAAAGAAGCAACTGCCTGGATTAGACCTTCTTAGCTCAGCCCCATAGTTCCACAACTAATTATATTGTTGAATCTCATCACCATATATGGCCTTGAAGGCCAATCTCCTTGCCCTGGCTAGCTTGCTTCTAGATGGAGTCAGATTCCATTCTAATTGGACTAACTTTGCAAACCCTCCAAGTGTCATCTTATCATTTGCTCTAAAAGTTTCAATGTACTTCTCAGATAGCCATTTAGCAGTACACCTTTTCAGCACCCATTCCTTCTGACATTTATGCTCCCCAAGATATGTCTTCACCATCATTGACTTGGACCTGCTATCAAATGATGCATATAAGTTCCATGGGCAACCCTCAACACAGTGGGCCCTAAGTCTTTTTTGCTCATTCCTAGGTATCTTGATGTCCACTCTAGCCTTCAAACTGTACTCTGTTATGGCCTTTCTAAGTACTTCTACTGAAGGAAACACCATGCCAACCTTAAAAACTGGGTTCTTAACATCCTCTGCCATGAAAGCCTTGAACTTTAATCTCACTTCACCTTCATCATCTGAATCTGGGAGCTGCAAATCTTCATCATCAGTGGAAACTTCCTCCCCATCAGAATTTCTAACTACTATTTCTTTCCTCTTCAACTGACTGCCCTTAGCTTTCTTCCAAGACTTTGCCTTGCAGTCAGATAAGTCTTCAACACCCATATCAACATTGTCAACATACAAGTCATCATCTGCATCTGATATATCATAGTCACTGTCCACAAAATCTGTGTCATCTTCTAAGCTACCATCACTGTCACTGTCATCTTGTTTGTTTGGCACCTTCCTATCAGCAGTTGGCATCTTCCTAGGACTAAGCACCCTAGGCAATTCACTAATAGGATTAGCTACTACATCATCCCAATCTACACCTGCAATTGTGTCACCCTGATCAAAGTAGATAATAAAATTCTTAACCTTGTGCACAACTGATTTCATCACTTCAAAGTCAGCCCTAGTAGATATAACCCTAAGGCCATCTTCAAGAGTCCTTCCAGGGAGCAACCAATAAGCCTTAAAATCTGGAGTCATATCATACCCAAGCATAGCTAAAAATTCATCCAAACAAACAATATCCCATGTTCCTGCTTCACAGTGGTCAATCCAATTTATTGTTTGATCTACATATGCCCTGTTGCTACTTTGACCAACAAAAAAACCACCATGGTGTACCTCAGCGGTGAATTTACCATCATCAGGACCTGCATTGCAATCCTAATTAGCTGTATTACTCTCATGTTCTAGCCTACTCGAGAACAATGTCAGGATAATCATCCTACAGGGAAAAATAACATCTTTTTTGCATAACAAACGCCTTATTCCTTTGTATCTATCTACCAACATCAATCAGTGCATGCTAACCCTGCAGATTAATGGACGAACGAAATTTTGAAGTTATACTCACTGTACAACGGAGGCCCTTCCCCTTCCAGGCGGAAAATCATGCCTCCTCCCCGCGATTATGGTCGGCGGGAGGCCGCAACAGCCAATCGATCTCGCCTCTTTGCGCTTCCGTTGGAACCCTATTTCTCCGGCGATCACCCCCCTCACGATCTCCGCTGCACTCTGCGCTAGGGCACTCCGGGGAAGACGAAGCAGCAGTGGATGACGAAAGAAAATGAGAAAAACAGAGGGGCCTCGATGAAAAAAAAACAAGTGTGGCCGGTGACACACACGGTGCGCGTGAGAAAAGGCACGGTGCGGGCCAGCTCAGCTGTGCACATGGCATGCCACGTCGGCGCGACCACGGTCAAATGACATTTTGGACCGGCGATGGTACATTTAGCAAGTTTAGTGGCCTAATTACACGATTTACAAGTTAATGGACCTAGATGATATCCGCCCGCAAGTTTAAGGGCCGCTACTGTATTTTACTCAAAAAACTATACTAGAGGTAAACGTGTGACAGTACAAGACCAGTCAAAGTCTTTCCAACGTCTCTCGCATGCTGTACGTACGTACTATAACACGTAGTAGTAGAACCGTACGTACGTCTTCGTGAGTTAGGTAATTAATATGCGGCTACACGAGAGGAAAAGGCCAAGGAAAATCATTGGAAAGTTCATTGCAACGTGCCAAATATTAATATTGCCTCTGTGCATGCTCAACGTTATATCTTGTGCCTCCAGCTGGGCATATATTATGGTATGATCCTTAATTTTAATCTTGAAAGAAACTACCTTTTTACCATTTCTTTAATTCTTTAGATAAGAAAAAGAAAAATATTCTCTAGAAACCATATCTGTCACGGTATCCACCTTGTCATCGGCTATGTCAGTGTTACTCGAAGCTTTATTTCTAATTAAGGGTATCTTTACTCTATGTGTGTGTGTATATTGATATTTCTCAACCAGGTTATGAATAGGGCCCACTATTGTTGTTGTAACTTTAAGTATTGCATTAGAGTTAGAAAAGGGATGAACCTAGCTTTGGGTTAAGCCCTCAACCGGTTCGTGGAGTGTTGTGGAAAAAAATGGTGACGGTTACCTCTGACGAACGTCCTCCGTCAAATGTGAGTAAAGTCATCAGCGACCACTAATCTCTGACTAGGACCAAAACACGTCAAAGGTGACGGTTTGAATACCGTCAGAGATGACCTGATTCGGCGTAGTGTGCATAGCTTTATATGAGCCTGTACTTAGGCCTTGAGCTATGGCCGAGGTAGCCCGGTTATGATCCATCATTGGTTGGGAGCCATCACAACTTTGAAAGACACATTTTCGGATAATGTGATATGGATACATATGCACACACACTAGAATACTAGATGATACCCCGTGCAGTGCAGACGGAATATTGGTGTGTGCAATGCAGTTGTAAAATTTCAATACGTACATACGAGAAAGATTATATATACACGCTGATATGAACTATAGAAGTGTCATCCAATGTGTTGTCAAGTGATGGTGTAACTTCTTTACAGTAATAACGTTCTACGCTAGCTAAGTAAATCACTGAATGCTAAGTTATTTACTAATTAGTGATGAATAGTAGCTACAAAATGGATTAAGCATAGGAATGATCCAATATATGGCTCTCTTTTTTTAAAATTATGTGGTTTAATGCATGTTGAGCTATTGGCTATAGGATATATAAATAAGCCAGAAAAATAAACATCAAGTTGCATTCACTACCTGCCCAGATGAAGAAAGTATGCAGCTGAGCTGTGTGCCAAAGACTATTAAAGTACAGTGTGAATACATGCATGGAAAGTTTGCGACAATTGACCACTTAATTATATTTAGTGGAAGTAATTAACATCTACTAGAAGCAACGTGACAGTGCAGGACCAAGTCTAAAGTGTCTTTCCAACCTCGATCTCTCGTAATCGAGCTTAGCTATAGCTCTCATGATTTAACTGCTATAAATACCTCAGCAAGCAACAAGTCTCAGCACAAGACATTAATTAATTAGCTTGAGAAACTCATCTGCTGGATCGAGCTTCTCTGTTAATTAATGGCGTCGAAAGCCTTTGCACTCGTGCTGCTGGCGGCGGCGACGCTGGCCATGGCGGCCAGCACGGCGGCGGCGCAGAGCTCGCCGCAGGACTTCGTCGACGCCCACAACGACGCCCGCCGCGGCGAGGGCGTCGGCCTCCCCGACGTGGTGTGGAACACGACGCTGCAGGCGTTCGCGGAGAGCTACGTGGCGGTGCTCGCCGCCACCTGCAGCCTCGACCACTCGAACAGCGTGCAGCTGGGCTACGGCGAGAACCTGTACATGGGCGGCGCCGGCAGCGCGTCGACGGCGGCGGACGCGGTCGGCTTGTGGATGGAGGAGAAGGCGGACTACGTGTACAGCAGCAACACGTGCACGAGGGGGGCGCTGCTCGACTGCGGCCACTACACGCAGGTGGTGTGGCGGAGCACGACGTCGATCGGCTGCGCGCGCGCCGCCTGCAGCAACGGCGGCGGTGTCATCATCAGCTGCAACTATTTCCCGCCCGGCAACTTCCCCGATCAGCGCCCTTACTAGTACACTATACTTACTACTACATGAATGTACGCATCAGATATATATTTATATGAATAAATTAATCACGTTCATGTATGTATAACATATACAGTACCATATTCGTACTTACTATAATAAGTAAGGCAAATTTTTCTACGCGGCATCGCAGTTGTGTGGTTTTAGCCTAGGGACACCGAAAAACAAAGCTTTGGGGGAAAGACACTACATAACCATAGATATTTATCGATGAGCACCGTGCCGTCTAAATGAAACTTGCCATGCTGACGTGGCGGTTCAGGAGCCCTTTTTTAATGTGGTTGGACCGAAATGCCCTTGCGCCTTATCTCCCTTGAGGGAGTAGCCGGTCATGGTGAAGAACCCCTCGGTGGCGTAGATGATGGGGCAGTCCGGGCGCGTCGCGTCGGAGACGACGAACGTCTGCTGCAGGCTGGACAGCGCGTCCTTGACCTCCAGCGACACCCACGCGGCAGCCAGTCTTACGACGCGCGGCCGCCGCCGCGCGCCGCCGTCCACTGACGACTTGCATGCCGCTCCCGTCCCCGACGTGCCGCCGTTGTCGCACCACGCCGCCGCCACCGGACGCCAAGCCTGCTGCTGCTGGGCGCTGCTTCCGCTAGAGCCCTCCTCGGCAACGATCTCCAAGCCGGCGGCGGTGGAGATGGGGAACGCCATCCACTTCTCCACCGCGTCCACTATCTCCTTCGAGCTGCTGGCCGCCATGGATGCCGACGAGATTGTCCTCGGCTATTATCAGCAAAGGTGTAACAATCTTGGCAGTGCAACTGCCACTGGTGGAGAAACCATCTTTCGTCGGTCGGGCTAATTCCACAATAGTCCCGGTTGCAACAAAAACCGGGACTAAAGATCATCTTTAGTCCCGGTTAAAAAGGGTAACGGGCATATTTGATCTACACCAACCGGGACTAAAGATCGTAACTTTAGTCCCGGTTCAAATGCTGTAAGGGCCTGTCAGGTCCCCCGGGATCTTTAGTCCCGGTTAATAACACCAACCGGGACTAAAGATCGTAACTAAAGATCACAGCGATCTTTAGCCCCGGTTCATAACACCAACCGGGACTAAAGTCTCACCCCTATATAAATGTCTTCTTCCTCCTTCAGCCCGAGCAAGCTTCAAAATTTCTTCAAAAAAGAGGGGAGGTCATGCCAAAATTTCTAGTAAATTTATTTTGGTGATTATATACAAATCAGAGGTGCCTAAAAGGTTAGCAACTTCATCCTCCAATGTTTTTTTTTTCATATTACATTTGGAGCTATGTTTTGCACACATTTTTGTGACCAAAATTTTGTTGTTATTTGATGAGAGAGAAAATTTGTGTGGAGAATAAAGAATATATAGAAATTTAGTTTATTTGCTAAAGAAGGTTTTATAAAAAAGTTGAGAAGGAAAATATAGTGAAAGTTAATCTTGAATAATAGAAAACAAAGTAAAATGACAAATTAAAATAAGTACAACACATTAATATTAGTTTAAAACTTTATAAATAGTAAATATATAATTATTCGGTGTAATATTTCATAATATTTGTAGGAATAATGATATGTCATTATTGTGTGACTGTTGAAAGAGTTTGTAATTATTTTATAATTATTGTATGACTGTCATTATTGTACGAATAATTATGTGTGTACGATTTTTTTTCATGTTATGTAGATGGATCGGCAATGGATGTACGCTGACCGGTGGTCCAAAGAGTTTATTGACGGCGTGCATTATTTTTTGAGAGTGGCCGAAGCTAACATGCAAAAGGGTTTTATTTGTTGTCCATGCAATAAGTGTAAGAATCAGAAGGAGTATTCTGCATGCAGGACTATTCATTTCCACTTGTTTGAGTCGGGGTTCATGCCAAGCTATAATTGTTGGACATCCCACGGAGAGCAAGGTGTTGAAATGGAAGAAGATGAAGTGGAAGACGACAATATTCCGGACTTTGCTCAGTACGCTGGATTTGAATGAAATCAAACGGGCGAGGAGGAAAGGGATGCTGATGGTAACAACATTGCGGATGATCTTGGTCAGATGTTGCAGGACGCCATGGAGGATTGCGAAAGTGAAAAGGGGGCCCATAAATTGGACAAGATGTTAGAGGACCATAGAACGTCGTTGTACCCAGGTTGCGAGCAGGGGCACAAAAAGTTGGATACCACTCTGGAGTTCTTGCAATGGAAGGCAAAAAATGGTGTTAGTGACAAGGCATTTGGCGATTTATTGAAACTCGTTAAGAACATTCTTCCGGAGGGAAACAAGTTGCCCGAGACAACGTACGAGGCTAAGAAGATAGTGTGCCCTCTAGGACTGAAAGTTCAGAAGATTCACGCATGTCCGAATGATTGTATTCTATATCGCGGTGAGGAGTACGAGAACCTAGAAGCATGCCCTGTTTGCAAAGCACTACGATAAAAGATTAGACGAGATGATCCAGGAGAAGTTGACGGGCAGCTAACGAAGAAGAGAATTCCTGCTAAGGTGATGTGGTATTTCCCTATAATATCACGGCTAAGGCGTTTGTTCAGGAACAAGGGGAACGCTAGAATGATGCGGTGGCACGCTGAAGAGCGTCAACAGGACGGGATGCTGAGACACCCCGCCGATGGTTTGCAGTGGCGAAACATCGATAGAAAATTTAAAGACTTTGGAAAGGACGCACGAAACATACAGTTTGGTTTAAGTACGGATGGCATGAATCCTTTTGGAGAGATGAGCAGCGGCCACAGCACTTGGCCCGTTACGATATGTATCTACAACCTCCCCCCGTGGCTATGCATGAAGAGGAAGTACATAATGATGCCGATTATAATTCAAGGGCCCAAGCAACCTGGTAACGACATCGATGTGTACCTAAGACCACTGGTCGAAGATCTTAAACTGTTGTGGAAGAAGGAAGGTGTCCCCGTGTGGGATGAGGACAAACAGAAGGAGTTTAACCTACGAGCGCTGCTGTTCGTAACCATCAACGATTGGCCTGCACTTAGCAACCTATCCGGGCAGTCCAACAAGGGGTACAAGGCTTGCACTCACTGTATGGATGAAACAGAAAGTACGTATCTTAAGTACTGTAGGAAGGTTGTGTACATGGGTCATCGTCGATTCCTTGCAGCAAACCATCCGGTTCGGAAGAAAGGCAAGCACTTTGAACATAAGGCGGACCACCGTACGAAGCCTAAACATCGCAGCGGAAAAACAGTGTTTGCTATGGTTAAAGATCTTAAAGTAGTGTTTGGAAAGGGGCGTGGCAGCCAGCCTATAGAGAGCGAAGATGGTCACGCGGCGATGTGGAAAAAGAACTCTATATTTTGGGAGTTATCCTATTGGGAATTCTTGGACGTCCGCCACGCAATCGACGTGATGCACCTCACTAACAATCTTTGCGTAAACCTTCTTGGCTTCCTAGGTGTATATGGAAAGTCGAAAGATACACTGGAAGCACGTAATGATCTAAAGCATATGGAACAACGCGGTGACCTTCACCCAGAACCAAAGGAGAAAGGAAGCCATTACTTGAGTCTAGCCAGCTACACTCTTAGCAAGGCAGAGAAGGAAAGTACGTTTGAATGCTTGGAGAGCATCAAGGTACCGTCTGGATACTCCACGAATATAAAGCGAATAATAAGCACGAAGGAGAAGAAGTTCACAAACCTAAAGTCTCATGACTGTCACGTGTTGATGACACAGCTGCTACCAGTTGTAATAAGGGGTATCCTCCCAGACAATGTCCGGGCAATAATAACAAAGCTATGTGCTTTCATGAACGCAATTTCGCAGAAGGTCATCGATCCTCATAGATTAGAAGCCCTGCAAAATGATGTGGTGCAATGTCTTGTCAGCTTTGAGTTGATATTTCCACCTTCATTTTTCAATATAATGACGCATCTGCTTTGTCACCTTGTCAAAGAGATCGGTATTCTCGGTCCTGTGTACCTACACAACATGTTTCCTTTCGAGAGGTACATGGGCGTTCTGAAGAAGTATGTTCGTAACCGTGCTCGTCCAGAGGCAAGCATCGCCAAGGGGTATGGAACAGAGGAGGTCATCGAATTCTGCGTAGAATTTATCGAAGACCTTCGCCCAATCGGGATACCTGAATCACGCCATGAAGGGAGACTACGGGGAAAGGGGACTCTCGGAAAGAAAGCAATAATGACGTTAGACAACAATTTATTCCGTAAAGCCCATTTCACGGTTCTGCAACAATCTTCATTGGTGGCTCTCTACATCGAGGAGCACTTGGCTCTAGTTTGCACCAAAAACATCGGTAAGTCCGATGCATGGATTACAAGGCATCACATTGATACTTTCTCCACATGGCTGCGACAACATCTCATGGGTAATGAGACGATTAACCAACAACTGGCCTTCCTGGCGAGGGGACCATCTGGCTCGATCGCGACATTCCAGGTATATGAAATCAATGGGTACACATTCTACACGAGGGCCCAAGACATGAAGAGCACGAACCAGAACAGTGCTGTTCGTATCGATGCCATGGGACACGATGGTACAACTGGCACGTATTACGGTGCCATCGAGGACATATGGGAACTTGACTATGGACCTCTCAAGGTCCCTTTGTTCCGGTGCCAATGGGTTAGGTTGACTGGTGGAGGCGTAACGATTGATGACAGTGGGATGACAACGGTTGACCTTAACAAGGTTGGATACTCGGACGAACCTTTTGTCCTTGCCAATGATGTAACCCAAGTTTTTTACGTCAAGGACATGTCTAGCAAAGAAAAAAAGGGCAAAGTGACTGACGAGCCGAAGCGCCACGTGGTTCTCCCAGGAAAAAGAAAAATCGTCGGATTAGAGGACAAGACTGACGAGGATTACGATCAGTTTGATGGGCAACCCCTTTCACGATGACAATTGACCCTAGCATCCTCCTATCAAATGAAGACACCCCTTACTCACGTAGCGATCACAAGGAATGAACAATAGTGAGGAGAAAGTACGTCCGGTCAACCGTCACCGCCGATGTATTGCCGTAATTGTTCTGTACACGATGTAAACTATGTTGGATGTACCGAATATCTATACTAATCAATTGTTGTATGGCATATGTAAAATACGTATGATTATTAGAATTTTTATCAAATTGAAATCATCCATATGCTAGTTA